GTTTTTGCCACAGGATGCTGAGAAACACAGGTTTGCACAGTAGCTCCCAGAGGAAAAGCCACACATCAAAGGGCATTGGAAAAAAGGAGAAGGAAAAAAAAACAAAACCCAACAACAAAAAAAAGCCACCCCTAACTTTGGTTCGGGAAGTCCCTGAGCCGCTGATCTGGAGGTCGGGTGGGTGCTGGGAACTGCCACTGCATCACTGTCCCTTTCTTCCTGAGGCGCTGGAGACAGGAACCTGGCCTCCATGACGTTTGGTCTGACCCACAACAGCTATTCTTGTGTCCCTATCTCCTAATTCACCCTGATCTAACGCAGTAGATGTGTGAATGTCTATTTTGTACATCAGAGTCAGTCGTATAGAGGAAAACAAGATTTCTGACCTGGTTTTATATCCTTTGTTTTCATTTCCTATGGCAAAACGAAGTACGCGCAAGTTCTTGGCTGTGGTGAGGTCTGGCCTGTCATGGCGTATCAAAGGCTGTGAAGCTGGCTGTGTTCATGCACCTAACCCTAAAACCATGCTCGCACTCCTGTGGATCACTTCCCATGTGCGAGTTCAAAACTCAGATTACACAGCAGCAATTCTGGCATGCCAGTGAGGTGAGCGGTTGCCGAATGCTCCTTCCAGCCTCATTCAGCCCAGTTCTAACCATATCAGTTGTTAATTAACTTCTCTTGGGCTGGTGAACCTTCATTGTGTTTAATCCACAAAGTGGCTGCAGTTTGGTGATACAAGAACCTCTCTTCTTACTTTCCAGTGGGTGTTGGTTAGCTTCTGCAGCCTATTTAAGTGTTACTCATTCACAGGTGCCACACATGTGTTCCTCTGGGCCTTTAAATACCCTACTGCTTGCTGGTACGCTCCGTACCTTTAGGGCAGGCCTGGAGTTGGCCTTCCTGCAAAAGGTTACTCCACCTGTTTGACTCCAGTGCTTAGGAAATCCAGAGCTCTGGTTCCCACAGTGCTTGTGACTCAGCAGAGTAACTGCCCTTAAACAGAATTACTCGTCCAACAGCTTAAAATGCTTTGCAAGCACCAATGAATTAGGCTTCCCAATGCCTTGAGATGAGAAGTGTTACTGATAGGTAAACCAAGGCAGAGCGTGAGTCATGTGCAGAAGCACATTGCAAACCCTTTCTCTCACGGCTCTGAAAGAAATTTTGACCTAGTAAAAGTCAGGAGTAAAATCCCTTTAATTTATTAAGGCCAGAATTTCATCCTTGAGGTCTTGTCTCCTGCTTTTCTACACTGAGATCTTGAGGCCAGATCTTTACCCATTGCACGGCCTGTGGGTCTTTTTAAGATGCCTTTTTCACTACATACACAGCAACATACAAATAAATTCCTGCGTGTGCATAAGGGGCCTGTATTGTAGCCACTTTGAGTAGTCTGAAACCAGTACATGTAAAATTCCTGCTGCGGTTCTCTGCTTGCACATCTCAATGTATCATGAGGTGGGGAGCCAATGCATCTTCCTTTGAGGCCGGTGAAGAGCTTTTCAGTGTCTGGCACTCAGCTTTTTACATTGCGTAAAGTTACTTCCTGCTAATCTTCCTATTCTGACATAATGAGATTGCATCCACATTTGAAGCCGTTATAAACATTTAGTGTGCCAAGGTCCGGCCTTACAGACAGCACTTCAAGCCTGAATCAGTTCCCTAATATAAAGTTGGATCCTGCTTCATTGAAGCCACTGGGAGAATGCCCAGGACTTTGGTGGGATGAGGATCACAGCCTTTAGAGGGAGCGCCTGGCTTACGAGGGTCAGGTGTCATGAAGTCAATTCTTTGTGTTAGGAAAGTTGTAATTTCCTTTTAAAGCTCAGTGACTCATTGAATCATGGCTGTGAACAATCCCACAGGATTTCCTTAGATTTGTGATAGCTGAAGGTAAGCTTGGAATGGCGCCCCTGGAAAATTTCTTCGTTCAGGGGCCTGATCCATCTCATTTTCAAGTCAGTAACTGAACTTTTGTTTACCACTATAACGCAGATCAAGAGGGTTGTGTAATCGTGGGGCCTGTTCCTGCATCAGCCTTTGATAAACCAGTGGAAAGGGCTACCTGAAAAGCATCCGTTGAAATGTGGAATCTGGAGTCATAAAGAATTCGTAAAGCTCAATGACCTCATTTCACAGCAAAGAAAGAGGCTAGAGGAGCCCTTTGTTTCTTCATAGTCTCATAAAAGTAGTTTTGCTTCTCAAAATTATCCACCCTCTAAAATTCATTTACTGTTGTTTTAGGTGTAATTCTGGACAAACTGAGTGAAAGAGTGAAATTTGCATCCACTTGGATGATCCTTTATCTAGGAGTTAAGCTTCCCTATTGCAAGGAGAACAACATATCAGTCAATCATGGATGAGTGAGCTTTTAGATAAGGCCTTTCCTATAATACACCCATAACACTTTATTTTCCTCTTGTACTGGAACTGACCTCCCCACTTGGGCAAGTGTTGTGGAGGCAGAGATAGGGACTGTGCCGTGCTGCTTGGCTGACACACATTTCAGAGCAACACATTCCAGCAGATGAACCCATTTGCACAGTTGAGTGATCTAAACTTAGAAAGCTAATTTCTCTAATTACAAAGTGAGACTGAACTCCTGTAAAGCTTTTCATCACCTGAGTGGAATGGGAATTGCACTTCCATAATCATTTCATGTTTAGAAACTAATTAGAAAGCGTTTTGTGGGGAGGCCACACCCCGGGTTAGACTATTTCACAAACGGATTGGGAGAGGACACTACCTCTGATGAGAAAGTTGAGCAAGCGGCAGAGGTTAGGAGAAGGAGTAGAGCTTACCAAACACTGAGCAGGGCATGTCTATGACCACAAAAGCTGCAGTTTTTCAGAGTCAGGCCATTTCTTAAAGCTGTATCTTGAAGCAAGCTTTCCAAATGTGACGAAAGATTCTGGAGAAGATGCTCCAGTGACCAGAGACCCAAATCCAGTTTGCTGCTACAAGCACATACTTTCTTCTTTCCCTGGAGCACATTGGTTAAGAGAATGAAATTTTCAAAGCCCCATTGTGCATATTTTGCATGTGCATTTTGTGACTTTGAAATTCCCACCTTAGTTTTCTGTATCTTATCTTCCCGGAATGCAAATGAGGAACTAAATCTAATTCAGAGGGTATTCTGAGAACAATAAATCTAAAGACTCTGGGATGCTCAGAAATGGCTGTAGTGAGAACCAGTAAAGTTCCTGAAAGAGTTAAAAGTTGTAGAGCTGAAATATGTCTATTGTAGAGCTTTTAAGTTTTATCCAGCTGTAATTAACTGAATCCATAACATTATTGCTTTCTGTCACAGCTTAAAATTGAGACCTTACTCTGTTCCAGAGAATAGTAGTTTCTCCTTCAGTTTCCTTTATTTATATGCATATAAAACCTGTTTTCTGGTTGTTTCTCTGTTAATCCTTCAGGAATCAAATGCCTACACCTTAACCTGTGAACCCCACTGCTTTGTCCTCCAGTTATCCTCCCCAGTGGCTGGATTTCTGTACACCGGTGATTTGATCTCAAATCCCTGCTTTCTAAAAACGGGAGAGCTGAGACTACAGTTTTAGGTCTGAGTAGGAGTGCACCTTATCAAGCTAGAGTAGCTTCCAGTAGGTGCAAAGACTGTGACACTGAGCAGTGCTGGCACATCTGTCACAGACAAGATGACACTTTCATTTGATAAGCAGTAACCTCAGCTATTCTTGTCAGTTGTAGAAAAGGCTGTGCTTGAAACCTAGGCTGAGCCCCATCTCCAATGAACAATGAATTGTAAGCTTTCAAGAGAGCTCCAAGTTTCTAGGTGGGCTTTCCTCATAGCCTTCTGCAAGGGTGCTTAATTTAGCTAATTTTAGTAAGTGCTCAGATCAAGTTTCATTTTATTGTTATGAAAGCATCAAAATGCCCACAGTTTTCATATATACTGCTCTCTCTTTATTGTTCAATGCATATGTTTAACAGGTTCTTTATCACCAACTACCCTAAGGGTGCAAGACTGAAGCATGCAGGGGTGTCATTTAGCTAAGGAAATGACTAAAAAAGAGCTGTAATTGGGAATTTTAAATTTGGGTGTTCAATATATGACTTCTTGCCTTTGCCCACCATGGGCATGGCCATTCCATGGCTGATCTAATATTCTGGACCTTGAGTTTACTTAGTCCTGCATGGGGGATATAGAAGGAATTGCTTCATTTCGTAGGAAGTAATATCTAGATGCATTAGAATTGATAAAATCCAGATTCTTAAGTAACTTGCTGGAATGGCAAGTGTATTGAGCCTCAAGACTGGGTGGATGGGAGCGACCCTGCTGATCTGCAGGGAAAATGTTTCTCCGGGGAGTTAGGGGTATATAACATGGCACAGTGGCCTGTGTTGATGGCACTGCCTGCTCCCTGGCAGAGAGAACATTTCTGTATCAGCTAAATACTTTTAGATAAAGGACAGGCCCCAGAGGGTGGCTAGCATCCTTGGTGGTACAGATAAAGACAAGGTCCTAGGTAAAGGGGCTCAAAATGGCTTTCCCCATATCCATCCTTTACACAGGAATTAAAAAACCCCAACCTTGACCATTCTGCATGTTGCAACATGTGGATGTTATCTGTATGTGTATTGAGGGCTCGTGTGTCATTGATCATACGGTGAGAGATGTGACAGGACTGTATGTCAGAGCCAGCAGCATTCAGAATAGTCTGAGCCCGCTCCGATTTGGGAGTTTTGGTGTTGAAACGCTGCATTTTGAACAAGGGCCACCTCAACTGCAGCAGTTCATCTCTTGAGACTCTCCCAGTCCCACTCTGGAGTTACCTGTGGTCAAAATCCCTGCAACTACTAGCAGGAGAGTGGAAACAAGAGTGAATGAGAAGGAATGGAATAATAATAGGCTAGGTGCATCATGGAGAGATGGCAAATAAAAGCCCCTATTCTGGAGAGTATGAGCGAGATACAGTGTTCTGTCACCTGCTTCTCTGATTAAAGGATTTTTTTGCTCTTTCCACAGAACCTGGAACGTTTTACATTCCTGCCTCTCTGTCAGCTGTTCTGTCTTGCATTTTCAAACACATGGGGGATGATTTTCCCTTCAATTGCTCCTGTTCTCAACCCTGAGTCATGGGCTCACTCCAAGTGTGATTAAGGACATCCCTGATTTGTAGCACTGGCAGCAAGACATGCTTGGTGAAGACCTGAAAGAAAAAAGAGCCTGGCTGTAGAATCGGACCCTTAAAACCAATTAACTTCTTTGAAGGTAATGGCATTACCCAGTGTGCGTCCTCTCTGTGTCTGAAAGGGGCCACAGACCCTCGCAGATCCACAATCTGTGTGTTGCCCTAAACTGCTGGGGGTTTTATATATACATAATGATGATTTTTATTTACTGTGGCAGAGGGGAACGAATGAGGATCTGCCACAACTTGAATAGAAGCAATTCCACACCTGTCCCTTTAAATGCACATTTGTGGTTGGCTGCCTTGTATTGTCCTCCCTCCTCTGGGGCTGTAGGGGACTTGTATGTGTGTGTGTGTGTGGAAGGATTTCCCAGCCTAGTTGGTGACCTCGCATCTTGCTGCTCCAAGCAGTGCCTTCCCTCCCCTCCTTTCTTTCCAATATTTATTGGAAGCACGTGCTAAGGAATCTGTGAGCCTGCAATGCTAATGAGTGCGTGGCATAGAGCAGAGCGGGGCAGATGCAAAGGGCCAGGCGCGGTTCCTAATGAGGGAGTCCCGAGACCCATCTGTTGAGTCTCGTGGGCCCTCAATGAAGTTAGCTACGCAAGGTTGCCAGAGGAGGTTTTTTTTCTCTAATGCTTTTAGTTCTCAACAAGTGCAATCCTGTATAGAGCAGCATGTCATGGAGTGAGGTTTTGTTGTTACTAGCAGATAATGTGACTTTGAAAAGAACGCCCCCCACCCCAGCTGAAAAGAGGATAACCCTCCTCTACCCCCTTCCTTCCCATCCTCCTTGCTCGGATCAATAGCAGGTCCCTAGGCACAAAGCCCGCATTCTTTTATTCTCAAATTAGAGCAGCTGCAGCAGCAACACCACAGCTCATTGGAAACCTATTAGCTTTTGAAAGACTTAATCCAGTTTGAAAATAACTAGTGTTTCTCAATCCTTCACGCACTCACTCCTGTAAGAGGCAATATTCTTAGACTGCATTGAGAGAGGACTGGGTTTATTATTAAAATAACCTGCATCTCTCTCGGTGACCCAAAGGAGCAACAAAGAAGGCAAAACATCAGTTTTCAGCTTCACACAGCCTAAGTACATGGGATTTACTCTGTCATATCACACCCTACCACTGAGCTATGCCGCCTACCATCCTGCCTTCGACAGTGACCGGTATCTTGTGATTCACTCTCCAATTTCACAGTTTTTAAGGCCAGAAGGCACTATTATGATAATCTATTTGACCTCCTGCACAACACAGACATTATAATTTCATCTTAGGTAGGATAAAAGCTGGGAGCAGCTGAATTCTTTAATGCTGCTCTGCTGGGCAGTGGTGGAAATGTGGGGGTTTTTGGGAGGTGCTTTTTGCTATAAGGGGAATTTGTTCTTCTTAAGCACATTAAACATAGAGCTTTGCCAATGGGAGCCCTGTGTACATGCAGCAAATGCCTTGCTTTGGAGTTAGGGGAGCTGAATTTAGGTAGAAAGCGTTTGCTCATCTGTCTTGGTTTCTTGTTTAGCTTTTATATCTGAACAACCCTTTACTGTGCATCTCCCTGCAGCAAACCTGTGAGCTATTTACTCCCATGTTAAAGATGGGTATCTGAGCTTCAGCAATTGCTTATGGCCTTCAGAGACATTTAGGCCACAAACGCCATGTGAAGAGGATAGCAGTGATGAAACAAAAGTTACCTTGAACAGGTTCATGAGTCTCATGCCCCAAGTGACACTGGAATCTGTAGATGATCAGGCAGCTTATTTTATTTAGCTTGAGTCCCAGCTTAGTGTGTTTGCTGGGACATCTTTCTCTGCCCAGTCTTTTCCTCTACCGTGGCAGTCCTAAACCTTTCCTGTAAGTGCTGCCAACTACTCTCAGTGATGATGGTACAGACATTTTGGCAGGAGGAGCTTGGGTAGGACCACCAGCTGACTTCCTGAAGGCCACCGAACACCAGCAGCTTTTGATTTCTACTGACCTGGACCAGATTCAGTGTGGTGACCTAGAGCTAAGGGGCTCAGTATCTCATTACTAATCCCTTGAGCTAGCCAATTCCTTCCACCAAGTCAATGTTTTCTAAAGTGTTAAAAGACTTTTCCTGCCTGCCTGCCCATTAAATCCTGCTCTTCTGTCCGTGTCCTTGGATCAGCCTAATCACTGAAGTGGATCAGTTTCAAGTCTTAAGGAGGCAAGCTGTGGTACTGACAGTGCAGGAGATGGCAGGCAGCGCAGCTGAGGCACTGCTTTCCAGCCAGCAGGACAGACACTGCTCTTACGGGTCTGTTTTTGAGTAACCTCAAGGTGCTGCTTTTCTGATGCATTGTCAACTGGGACATGTGGTGTTTCCTGCTTTTAGCTTATTTATCTGAGTTTTACAATTTATATATGTTTCTAAATACTTATCTAGGAAAAAGAAACAAAGTGTGTCCCTGGATCGTGCCCAGGCATTAATGTTTGCGTGCCTCAAGTACTAATTCTCTTCTGTGATATTTTAATCTTCTCACTTGCTGAGCCGGGGAACTTGGCTTTACAGGATGAACCACACGGAGCACCATCACTATGTATCTTTATTATTTAGGTGTTATATTTTCAAGATACAGAGAAACGTGTTTCAAAAGAGTGTGTTTGGAAACCTCTATGTTCTATGTTAAAATCTGCAATAGCCTCATTCACGTACACTTGGCAGGAAACAGCTTCCATTTGCTTTATTTTAGATTAGATACAGAACAGCTCAGAATTTCAGGCCTTCTATATACGTGTCTTCTTTTCCAGCAAAGCTTCTTCATAATTCATATAGACTTACAAAGTATACATTGCTCTATGTATGTATTTCCCTCCCCCCCCCCCCCGATATATATCTGTATAAAAAAGGGGAGCTGCTATTAGGCATTTCAGTTACTCACCCTTGCTAACTGTTCCCTTAATACTTACTTGGTAAAGTGGCTATAGCTGTGTTCTTACGAGGAATATTTTTCTTCTTGCAGGGTAGGAGCACTATTTCCCCCCCTACTTATGCAGCTCTGCAGTAGCAGTCTGTGGTGCACATGCACTTGAATACCAATATCTCTTATCAATTTTTTCTTAAAATGAAACTTATTCATAGTGAATGTGTCTGCCTTTGACTGCATATAATCAGACCAGGCTGCAGATAAAAAGAGCATAAATCTCCAAGCTTTTGCGCTTGCTGTTACAGGAGTTGTGTATTTGCTGAGGGATGCTAACCACGTTTGCCCTTCTGTTCAGTCAGTGGATCAGAGCACTAATTCTAGGCTATCTATCTCATTAAGAATATTCTTACAGTGTTAGTCTCCAGAATCACAGGGGGTTGATCCTTTTCAATCCTGGTGATGTCATCTAATGCTGTTACCATTTGAAACAAAGTTCTTAATGTGGAGCTTGACATGAAGGCCTGTGTCTACTGAAGACACAGAAGCAAAATCTAAGAGTGTCCTTCCTTTTGCTAGTGCTTTGTTTATCTGAATTGTTTCCCAAGTTAACTCCTGTGGCCTAACCCCGTAGAAGAGAAGATCTAATCTCTGATTGTCCTCTGGGACTATTCCTGCAAGGTCCTTGAAGAATATATCCTGTTTCCCAGTCAAAGAATTATTCCAAGGATGTGTCCTGTCTTCTCTTCTCATTTGAAGATTGTTTACCTGTTATTAATGAACTGTGTTTTGTCTATGGACTATTCCTAGTCTGGTGGCATTGTGATGCTTATTGGAGAAGGAGGAAGGATTAAAATGGCTCAGACTTTGCATTCAACATCACATACTGTATGCAGAAGGACTTAACAATCATGTCACGAACACACCAAAACTTAGATAGCCCTTGGAGGCAGCAGAAATTGTGCCATTAGTGGGAGATAGATAGAGTCTTTAATAGAGAAATATTGTGAGAATTCATAATTACCTGTTCTGGTGAAGTTTTAGAGCAGCATGGTTTGTGTTGTCAGGTGTCAGATGTGGAATGAAATAACAACCATTTCAGGGTAGTGCTAAATTAAAGCAATTTGAGGATCAAGTTATACGTAAGCATAAATATTCAAACTCAGCTGCAGCAAATAGAATGCTCTCATTTGTGCCAGCTAAGATTAGTTTGGCAATTTTATTAGAGTATGAAGAGGTCACTTATTGTTTCAAAGAGGTTTTTCCTGAAAGGAAGACAACCAGTGCTGAAGAGCTGAAAGCACTGAGCTGTGCTCATTTGGATTAAAAATAGGTATTTTTGGCCAGCGGAGCTTCAAAATAAGCAAATTCTCAAACCAAACAGTTTTCCTTTTGGTAGCCGAAAAGGAAACCGCACATCCAGGAGGAATGTAGATCAAAGCAAACTCTGCAAATGATGCAGAAACGCATAAAATAACAAACAAGGCTGGTGGGAAGAGGGGAGCTTTTGTAAGTAGATAGGTCTGTTCATATTACACTGAAACCAAATGCAAGATGGCTAAAGAAGATACTTGAGAGGGGTGTATCAGGCTATAGATATTTCTCCTCAGAGGATTTTTTCCAGCCTGTTTTTGCATATCCATTGTATTTGCAAAGTTGCATATAAGTGGCATACTCAGCACCAGATCTCACTGATACCAACTTCTGCCTTTCACCACTCTATCTTATCTTTCACTTTCCTTGTCTCACTGGCTTCCCTGAGCCTCTGTTTGCCTAAATCTGTGGCAAAACATGTTTGGTTTATTGCTTGCCCATAATGCTGTTAAAGCTCATCATCAACTCATCTTCTATAACTAAGATTTCAATTTTTAGGTAGTTTAACTTTCATACTTTTCAAAACAAAAAAATCTGTATGTATATAGGTATTAGCTGGTTAAATTGGAATGCATTGTTTAATGTGGTATATGAGAGTATAAATCTACATCAGAACTGTTTTTAATAGACAATATGAAAAGAAAGTCATTGCTAAGTATTTTTAAACTTATTGTTTCACTTTCTTTTAATAAAACTGTTACTGCAACAATCAAGGCTTGTATAAATTGAATTAATAGGAATTTGGCAGTTGCAGTGAAGTCACTCTAGCTGAGTGACTTGTCCAGTTCTTTCTTGGATGCCTCTTCATCAAGTGATGGG